TTTGTTTTTTAAATTTAAATTTCAAAATTTGTCTTTAGTCTTCCTATCATCTTTGTTCTGTCTTCGTAGTGTTTTTTTTATATTATTTCCTCCCCTTTGTTACAAATTTATTTAGGGGGTTCTGTGGGATTCCCCGTATTTCTGCTTGCGACCTGGCGTCGCGAAAAGAAATTTTTATTTTTTTTCCCCTGGTTAAAGTTTGTTTCCTACATTGGCGTCCATGTATGTTTAAAAAAAGAACGGAAATATACACAGCCCGGCACCCAAGTTCCTATAAAATTTCTTGACAACCCTCCCCTTCGATCTTTTTCAGCATTTACTACATGGTACGGGCTTTTCAAATTGTGGATAGCTGATTCCTTTTTTTCCCATACATTCCCCAAAATTTTTGTCGACTCTATCAGGCTTTAGGGCGGACTGACAAAAATAAACTGTACGGGGTCCTTTGGGAATTTGGGAAGTTTTGTGCTTGCTCTAAAATGGGTATTGAGGTTTTATGTGAAATTATCAGAATGTGCTAAGGTATACATTCTATAAACATACTTCTTAACTCCGTTTTAGCCACCATGTGCGGTGACAGACTACCGCCACGTACAGACTATCGCCACTTAAGCTAAGGCATCATCAACACAGACCATTAATAGCTATTGTATCATTTGCTAAGAAAATTAATTTGTATGAACACATTTTGAAAAAGTAGGATTAGTGAAGCAAAAGATTTTTGTTCTTGAAGCTTGAGATGGTGAGTAGATTACTTTTCAATTTGTTTAACATTAAATCAGTGCATTACAATTTTTTAATTTGTTTTTTTCTCCCTAAAATGGCAGCTTTCAAGCCTTTGAAATCGACAGTAGAGAGAGCTCAAAGAGTGTCCAAACTCAGACTTTAGATCTTATGCATTGGTTTGATTTGATTTGATCTGATTCAAGAATCGACATCACAGCATTCGGGGTATTCCCATAAGTGCTCCGTCCCTACTTCAGCAGCCAGCAAAGAGTTTCGATACTAAGTGTGCCAGTAGCATTCTGATAAAATGTCCGTCTTGCTTTTCCTCTGAGCCTCGAGCATCTGCCAAAAACCTCTCGTCCTCCCCAACTACATCAATCTCACCAGACTGTGGTGATCTATCTGCTCCTCCGAATTGTACACTCTCTCCCACAAGGCACTAACCACATCTGCCCTATCATGTAGCAGTATTCCATCAAGTTGTGCAGAGCCAGCCAGTCTGTCCACGTGTTCATTTTCCAATACACAGGCATTACCCGGTTTAAAAATCCAGACAATACTTCTCACTCGTGTCCTCCACAGAGAAGCATGCCACTCTGCACGAAGCATACCTGTTCTGATCTTCCTCAGCATGCTTTCTGAATCAGATACAATCACGATGTGTGTGTGTCGTGTTCTCCAGCCAGCGGAAATCTGTAGTGACTGCCTCCACCTCCATTATTAAGCTAGATGTTGTGGTATCATATGCTAGGCTCTCCTGCACCAAACGTAGACCATTAACTTTTGCTAAGAAGCCCTAAGCACTTCTTTTGCCTCTTGACACTGAACCATCTGTGTAAATGATCAAATCCTCTGAGCGAGCATTAACTTGAATTAATTGCTGAATTTCCCCCTTTGTGGCACCTGCTGGCCAGTCTCTGCATTCCCGGCTCAGCGTGATTATGACTACACAAGTCTGACTGTTCAGGTGGCACTTTGACCCACTCCTCTCCTCGCCTAATGTTCTCAAGGATGCAAACCTGTCTGATTGTGTCTTCTGCCTGAGCCATCCATGACCTCCCTCTTATCAGCCGCTGACCCTTAACTGCACCCAGAGCTTCATGCAGAGGGTGGTCTGTGTCTGCAGCTACCCTGAGATATGACTTCACCTGCAGCACCTTGTGCCTACCTGCAACCGTCAGCAAACCAAGGATGTATCGCATACACACCACTGGGGTGTCTCTGGTGCAACCCAGAATGACCCGCCTAGCCGCGTTCTGTATGCATTGGGTTTTTAGATAAAGAAAAAGGTAATTGTAGGGATAATTTAGATTCTGACAGTATAGGTTGGGATGAAGCCAAAAAAAGTGTTTCAATCGGATCATCCCTGTTTCAATTAGCTGTGTCTGTTTGTTCTGCAATTTGACAAGTGACACAACAATGGTCATAAAATCCAAAGTATTTAGATTTATTGTCTTAAATAATGGTAGACCAGTGGGCTTGTATTACGTAATGTTATGTAAAATTAAACAAAGCTCAGTTGCTTTGTCTGGGCTAAGGACTAGTAACAATTAAATCCATGTGGTTTTAGTACTTGATTCGGGCTTAGGGCATAGCAAATATAATTCTCTGTCTCTCTATAACCAGAAGAAATTATTACCCATACTAACTTCTGAAAACACTGAGGTTGTTTCGTAACACCGGGTTTGATCCCATCTGTGGATTATTTGTCTTGTGCTGGTTTTGACAGTGGTACCAAGAGCTGGCCATTCAGAAAGTAATGGCAAACTACTGAATGAAAAATTTGTTTTGAAAAACCACAACAGCATATAAATGTTGAGGTTGGTTCTGCGACATCCTGTAAAGGATATACAACTAACTTGAACTTTATTCACTTTGTACAACATGCTTGTTAGGATGGTAGCACATCTATTCTTGCCTCCCTCCCCGCCCCCCCCCCACCCCCTGTCTCCCTCCATCCCAATGGAAACCCAGCACCCACATGGTGAAAAACAGGATGTTTGAAACTAAATGCTGGCTAAACATTTTGTGCTGATGTTTCTGTGGTTACAGACAAAACCGCTTTTTCAACCACAGGCTTGTCAACCAGTCTGCTAATCCTAGATTGAAATTCATACCAAAATGGATTCTTTTTTTAAACTGACCTTTTTTCCCCAGAACTTTACTTAGTACCTATTTAAGGCTGAGTCATTCTGGGAGCAAAGGTCATTTTTTAAAATGTTCTGGCTCCGTCAGGACCCAACCCACGACATTCTGATCTGCAGGCGAGCGTCTACCTGCTACACCACGGTTGCTCAAAAAAAAAAAAAAAAAAGCAAGAATGAAGGATAAAAAGAGGCCTACCTGAATCTCTTGACAACATGTGGGCTCACTACGTACTCCACTTTTGTGACACGGGTTCTGCCAAATTCAGATTACAAAACAATACATGTAAGAACATTATAACAACATTATCAGTAAACATAACAGATACTGCACTGCAGTTGGCAAGAACTGATTTCATAATACTGACATCAGCAAACACTATACATACAACATTATGAGCAAACATTGCATATGCAACATTCTTATGTGTAAGCATAAATGATGTGACATTATATCTAGAAACACAACACAATCAACATTATCATATGTAACAGCATATCAGCAAGCACTATACAATCAACCTTATCATATGCAGAATTTAAAAAATGTGTTTTCTGTCCTTTACATTTTTTTGGCTGTTTGTTATTTCACTATGCAATTTTTTTTAAAACGTTAAGTAGTTTGCCACTGCTACTGAATGGTCAGCTCTGGATACCATTGTCAAAACCAAGGCAAGGCAGTCTGCTGACAAATCCCCAACACCTGGAATCAAACCCAGCACCTTGGCATTATGAAGCATGTTCGCAATATCAAAGCCACAGAGGCTGACATGGATAGTATAGGTGATTATAAAAACTGACTTTTAACATCAATGGATATCATGGGGTGGGGGGGAGGGGGGGGGGGGGCATGAGGATGTTTTGGGGGGGGGGGGGTCAAGCACTTTTAAAATTAGGTGCATTTGGACTTGTAATAGTCCAGATTTTCAGCTTTAACGGTCATGAAAACAAAACAGCATTGCTAGCTTGAGATGGAGAGTGAACTCTGTTGCACCTTGTCCAACATCAAACCAAAAATAGCAGATATTATTAAGATACAACAGTGTCAACCATTACACTGATATTTGGACACTAAATTACCAATTGTTGGTGATTGTTTTTTTTTTTTTGGTTTTTGACAATTTTTTTTATGTGGACATTTTTTTCCAAGTTCTTGTTAACAATAATTGGTACTTTTATTTTTGTTGTCCTCTTTTTAATCCTATTTTTATTATGTTGGAGTAGAGGATATAGGGTCTTGCCATATATTTAGCATGGGGCACCACTGGAAACAGGTTGGAAACAATACAATCAACATTTATCCAACTACACTCACTTTTTAGCGCAGTCACCAGTCATGAGTCTATAGAACTGGGACTCGGCCAAACGGAAGTGAATCTGGCTTGCTGACCCTTCTTTGTACGCTCGTTCTGGTAACAAACTGAAGTAAGTAGTTTGCGACTTCTTCAAGGCCTCTTCCTCACCTTCAACCATTAGTAGCCCACTGTGCATCTGTGAACATTGAGCAATCAGTTTACATATATGTACGTAAATGTGTATATATATATATATATATAATCAGCATGCAGCAGGTCTTTTGCAGACATGCTCTCATCACGGTCTGCCTGAAAGAAACTTGGTCTCTCGCCAGCTTTCCCGCCTCTTCCACTTTCATTTCCAAGGAGTCATATCCTATCAGGTTGGTTGACCCCTGCCCCTTCTTTCCAGCACCACGCCTTCTGCTATTATTTTTTCCAGTCTACCGTGGCACTTGATATTTCCAAAATATTTCAGCTTCAGAGACAAGATGCTGTTTATTAGCCAGTCTTTCCTGATATTCAGATCTTTAGGAATATTAGTATTTACACACACATGAATAATTCACACACTCATGCAAGCACACGTACGTAAGCCCACTCACACACAAGGCTTCTTTTTTTTAGAAACAAAAGGTGTGTATACTCACCTGAGAGTCTAAAAATAAAAAAGTGTGTCAAAACTCACCACAAAGTTTTATTACAGAAAACCTGTATACATGTATATAAATATAAATATATATATATATGTGTGTTGGATCTGTGGCTAAGTCGATGCGAATGCTTCGTAATGTCGGGATGCAAGGTTCAATCCCAGCTGCAGGCCATCCATGTGCAGTGTGTTGGTTTCGACAGTGGTATCAAGAAAGCCGACCATCCAGAAAGTAATGGCAAACTACTGGACGTAAATTTGCCTAGAAAAACCACACAACAGCCAGGGGCTGTTGGGGTTGGTTCTGCAACTAACCTTATATATATTTATATGTATATATATATATATATATATATATATATATATATATATATAGAGAGAGAGAGAGAGAGAGAGAGAGAGAGAGAGAGAGAGAGAGAGAGCGAGAGAGATTTATACATGCAATGCAAGAAAGTGCACACACATCAGACACACACACACTCACACACATACACACACACTCACACACACACAAGAGGGAGAGAGAGATGTATCAGTTGATAAACTAAACAGCCATATAAATGAGATAGGTTTATGCTGTTTGTTTTGATCCTAATACCCCTGATATAACAACTTTCACTCGTTTATCTGCTTACATCTAAACCACATCAGCTGAGCTCATCTGGATATTATACTGGTTTCACTATAGGGTACTTCCAAGAATCAACAAGAAGTAACATGCATACACATATGTCAGTTCTTCTTCATGCTTTTCCTTCTCTTCTTGCTCTCCCTCCTCTTCTGCTCTTCTTCCTCCACCTATTCTTCTTTTTCTTCGTCTTCTTTTTCTTCTTCTTCTTCTACTTCTTCTTCTTCTTTTGCTTCTTCTTTTTTTTTTCTTCTCTTTCTACTTGTACTTCTTATGCTTCTTCTTCTTCTTTTTCTGCTTTTGCCCTTAAAAGAATGTTTGGTTTACTGTGTTGCGGTTTACAACTAGGCTGCAGTATCTGCATCTTCTGACACTACACATATTTTTTCAGTAAACTGCTAATTATTTGTTTTTTTACGAGATGCTTATTAAAGTGAAATCAAATCTGCAATCAATTGTTTGCAACTTTACTATTCAAACTTAGAATGGCAAAAAAACTGCTTTGAAGAAAAGTAAAAAAAACAAATTGGCAAGCTGACCTGCTTCTGCAATTGTTCAAGCTCCCTATTTTTATCCTCAACAATTTTCTTGGCCTTCTCTAATTCTTGTTGAAGTTTATATTTTTTCTTCAAATGCCCGCCTGATTAAATCTTTACGCTCCTCGTCTGTCAGTTTGGAGAATCTCTTTACAAGAGACAAATCTTTGCTGAGAATATCTGGCTTTTTGCTGGATTTTTCGTTTGATTTCTGCAATGAAAAAGAGAGAGAGAGAGAAAGAATGAGACACAAAAGCGTTTTTTGTAGATGTTTGAAAAACTTCTTAGCATAAAAACCTGTAATTCTTTCTTTTTTTTTCTCTTTTTTTTTCCTCTTTTCTATCCTACTGCTCATGCAGTGAACTTCACACAGAAGAGTTACATTTAGTTTCCTATCTTTTGCTAGTTATGTAGCATGTGTTAATGTCATATTGTGTTTCTTTGGTAATTTTTTAAACTCCATTCATCCGTATTTTTCATGGTCAGTCTCTTGTCTAGCCTGCTGTTTTCATGTTGTATGCTTTAGCTGCTGGCTGATTTTGTTCTGTTCTGACCATCTTACCAAACCAATTGATTCTTTGATGTTTCGTTAAATCATCTACTGGTAATGTGAGTGCCATTGTTATTGGTAGGTTATCATTGGTGACTCTATTTCTTCATTTTTTCCACAACATTTGTGTATACATCTCACATGTTGTAATTTTGTCATTAAATGTTAAAAAAGTATTTCTTGCACACTACCAGAACCACTTTTAACACAAGGCTGTGAAAGCTGGCCATTTTGTAAACAAGCCAAAATATTTCTTGAGGTCCCTGTGAGAGTTCCAGTGCTGCACTGCAGGGTGGGGGGAAGTGGAAGAATATACCCACTGCTTCCCTAAAAAGCATGTCCTAAGAAATGACTAATAACCATGTTCATCTGCAATGTGATATCAAGTGCTTAACACTCTTGTCATCCTTAACAACAATACTGACAGGTTACAAGACAGTGACATGGTTTCTGTAATTTCTATCTCACTTTTAAAGTTTTCATTTGAAACTCTCTTGTACTTTTATAACCCATGATCTGACTTCTTAAAATGTGTGCACATCTTTATGTGTATATCACGTTAACAAATGTATGGCATAAAGTGTTTAGTTCTCTCCTTCCTTCTTATTTCTAAACTCTCCTAAATCAGATTGGTGAAACTTAACTCCGATGTGGCAGTCACAGAATGGATCCCACACATCAGACGATAGGGTAGCAAAACTATTTCACTAGTTTTTAAGAACAAGTTTATTTATAATGGAGAAATTTCTGTTACCTCTCCTTCATCAGAATCATAAACTTCAGTGTCGCTTCCGCCATCATTGGTAGCAGCTGAGGTATGGGATGTCGGATGAGAAAATTCAGCAAAATGGAGGAGATTTTTTCTGTAACAGCTGACTCCATACCTGCAGGGAGGAAGCTCAACACAAGTGCTGCCATCTGTGGTAGGTATTGCTGCATTGCTTACCGAGGTTCCATCTACAACAGTGCTTTTGTTACAACCACTGATACTACTACAGCTGATGTTACTGCTGCTGCTGCTGTGTGTGAAAATTCTGTAAAATGTTGCGGATTTTTTCGGTAACATCTGGCTCCATATGGACATTCTGGCAAATCTGTAGTATCTTGTTTTTGTTTCTTAGCTGGCGAAGCTCCATCAGCCATATTTCACTATAGAATGATGTAGAAATTGTAAGACACAAATAACTTTGTACATGATAATAAAATGAGTGATTAGGACACCAGACATTAACTTTGAGTCCCAAACAACACATTATGTGAATCACTTCATCTCTAGAATCCCCTCTCTAGCTTAATATGTTCTCTTACTTTGTTTTTGTATTTGGTCAAAACACACTCAAGAAATCTGGCTTTTTCAGTGGTCTACTGTTATATTAGTATGACTAGTTTGAAAGTACAGTACGCATCTACCACAATATGATCGATGCAGGACTGATGTTACAATAGTCGTTTCATGTAAAGACCATTAGAATTATATACTAGAAGCTGCCAAGGTGTAGTGTCTAGACACTAGCCTTAAACCCAAAGATTCTAGATTCAAACCAGCATAGAGCTGGATTTATTTTTTAAATTAGACCTTGGCTCCTAAGTCGACGCAGCCTAAAATGGATTCTAGGTAAATGTACCAGGAAGTAAAGGCGGCTGCTGGGATGTTTACAACATCACACACCAAGTGCTGATTGGCCTATAAAATATAGATCTAGCACTATATGCACAATACATCTTATGGGTGGAAAGTGGTCTTTTACATTATATACTGTTATGTTTGTGTATTTAGTTTGATTAATTATTACACCAACATCATGTTGTGCCACTGTGCATCACAGTTGTGCCACTGTGCATCACAGTTGTGCCACTGTGCATCACAGTTGTGCCATTGTGCATCACAGTTGTGACACACAGTTGTGACATCGAGCATCATAGTTGTGCCATTGTGCATCACCATCACAGTTGTGCATCATAGTTGTGACATCGAGCTATCACAGTTGTTGCCACATAACAGTTGTGCATCAGCGTCACAGTTGTGATCACATTATGACATCCCAGCATTGTGCATCGACAGTTGTGCGTCACATGCATCCACAGCTGTGACATTGTGCGTCACACGAGGCTTACAGTCTGTTCGTCCCTTCCATCCTGTGAGGCTGTTTCAATATCATGGACTGAATCTAGTCCAGTACCTTTGGCCACTCTCATCAACGTTGGTCTTATGGTTTATTTGGGTCGTCCTATCCTCCTCAATCAATTTGTTTCCTATTTAAGTGCCTGTTTGGTGATTCTCCGTCTACCATCGCCTAAAGATTACGCAACATAATGCCATCTTCTGTGTCTAATAACTGTTTAAGAATAGCAGTTGCCTGGATATTTATCTTATATCTTCCTTGTTAAAGTAACATTTGTCTTCTCCCACCCCGCCCATATACACACTAGGTCACTTCTGATTGGTAGTTCCTGAACCTGTCACCTTGTCACAAGGTTACCTGGGTGTTCCCCAATACCGTTGATACACATGCTGTATATTTCAGCATTCCAGCACTTTTAACAGTCCAAAAACATGGAGAAACTTACCCTAACACAACCCTGCTAGAGAGTGCTGCAACCTATGTCACAGGCATTCTCTTACGTAAATGCAAGACAACGCAGAAAGCAAACAACAGAGCAGACACACCCCTAACTTTCAGGAAAGTTGACCACCCCAACAAACTTGTGAATGTAAAGTGACTTACTTTGTTTGGGGAGATTAACGTGAACCTAACTATCTTCCTCCTTCTTGAATTCACATTTTAATGAAGAAAGTATAAAGAAATTATATAGAAAGACTATACGTCAAAGAACGTGGGGGTGGGGGAGTAAAGTATAGGTGGCAAAGAAGAACCTAAAATGACAACATCAGAAATAGACAGGAATAAATTATACTTGTTCAACCTTGCGGAAGACAGGAACGATTTGTGTGCTAGTAGTTCCATCGATATACCTACACGACCGTCGTGTATTTTAATATAGATTTTTCAATATTGTCTGTTCATCAGAGAAATGTGCTCTTAAACTAAACTTCGTGATATTTGTTACTAAGTCGCTTAGAACTTTTTCTTGATGTTACTGATTTTATTTTTTAAATGTTACATTACATACCTGCTGCAACACACTGCTAAAGTGCTTTTGATTGTGTGTCAATACACGGTTGGCTGATGAATGAAATCTAGCCGAAGATCTGAAGGCATTCAAATGTCCCTGTGCCGTATACAACCAGACAAGATAGTCCTCGAACTGTGTGCTGTTTTAGTCCAGGATTTTCTCTTGCTGTGTTTAACATAAGGGTTGGTTTTCCATAAATGATATACACATTTAAACAGTCTTGTTAACAACGCCAAGTTTCATGTCCCAGAGATAAACCACCTCGGTCTCTGTCCCGTATGTCGACTGCTAGGGGTCACAGTGCTAAACTTTCATATTCCACCCTTTCTGGTTCTGCTCCGCGAAGTATCTTCCTTCTGTCTTCACTACTTATGTATGTAGCAGACCCTTTTCAGAAAATGGTCTTATCACAGCCATCATAATATGGTGCTCGGTCTCTCCGGTCTCCCGTTTATATCATCATCATTATCTTCATCATCAGCATCATCATCACCATATAACAGACCTTTCACAGAACATCGCTTTCATCAAAGCCCACCAACAGAAACTCGGTCTCTCGGCAGGTCTCCCGTTTTCATCATCCTCACATTGGCAACAAGCGTTAGCGCAGTCGATAGGAGACTCGCTTTCGAATCCAGCTGTGACTCGCTGCAGACACGGTCGGTGTTCGAAACCGGGCGGTTCCCGGGGTTCACACAGCCTCTAAGAAATGGGTACCAGAGTTGACACTCTGGGGTGAATGGAGGAACGTCGCTGTAGTTATGGAGTTACGTGCGGACGGCGACACAGGCGGACAGTTTCTTATCAGCTGTCCGTACTGGTGGCAGAGCACTTATGATTTATAACCATGTGCAATAACGCTGGTTCACATCTCCCGACTTTGGGGGGGGGGGGGGGGGGGTTGGGACATAAAGAATATGCGTCGATTATAGCGCGCTACACTTTTCTATTTCCAACTGCTAAAAGATTTTTTTTTTACATGCGCAACAGTACACGCGGGCATCCGATCTCACTACTCAGACCAAGAGAAATTACTAAAGTCCACATGAAAAAATCCCAGCTTTTACCGGGGCCTGAACCCGGGGGTTATAGCACTCGAGGCAGACACCATGCTTCGGATCCAGGCAGCACCCCAGTTGGCAGTTTCAACTACTGAATGTAAAACCAAACAGTCACCAAATTATGAAACTGGTTCTGTTCCGCAAAAGATACACAACTGTATCTAGGTAACTTGTATGATATACCGCTAGCCACACCACGGTTACCAAAAGCAGATGCATAAGTAACCTACTATTGATTCTTTGATCCGTCGAGCGTGACCTGGTATCCACGAGCTTCGCGGATTTTGATACCAACAAAACAGGTACACAGGAATAGAGGACAGCTAGGTGCTAAAAGCAACTAACTGGCTGCCTCTGCCAGGTTGTTTGGCTGAGACTTGATTGTCTTTTTTTTCTTCGTCTTTACTATTTCCCCCGCAGTGAATCCTCGATGCTTAACCAACCAGCCCCATCCTTTTTCCATCACATCAAGGGTTGCCATATTTTGATGTTCCAAAACACTTCTAACAAAATTCCATTTAAATTGTGTTCAATGTGTATTTTTCAATCAGGACAGTTGGTTAAAGGTTAGTTGCGTATCCATTACAGGACGTCGCAGAACCAACCCTAACAGCCCCTGGCTGTTGTGTGGTTTCTCTAGGCAAATTTACGTCCATTGCCATTGCCTCTGGACGGTGGCCATTCTTGATACCACTGTCGAAACCAACGCAAGGCGCGTGGCCCGCAGCTGGGATTGAACCCGGCATTACGAAGCGTTCGCATCGACTTAGCCACAGAGCCGACGGACAGTTGGTAGATTAGTTAAAAACTACGTGGAAGCTGCGGAGATGTTGTTTTATAGATGCATGATGAGAATTCACTGGACAGATCAAAAGAGTAATTAAAATGTCTTGAAAGAAACTGAACCACATCAGAATTCTTTGATCATGTGACGAGAAGGAGAAAACTAGAGTACATCGTGACAGTAGAAAAGTTAGAAGGGGGAGAGGGAGACGTGAAAAAGATACTGGACACTTTGACCTCATGGCATGGAGGATCATGTATCAGTGATGACTGAAAGTACACAAGACGGAAGGTTGTTGATAGACATGATTACCAACGCCACACGGCACGGACTTTAAGATGAAGTATATTTTTCTGATGACCTGATTTTTTTCAGAATGTTTGTATCAAATACTAATAAACTGGTCTGCATGCGAAATGTTTGAAATTAAACTTTACAAGTGAAATTGACTTGACCGATTTCACACTTCATTTTTAGGTCATGTAATGGGAAGGAGGCAGGGGGGAAGTTGGAGGGCTGAAGATGCGGAGGGGGAAAGAGGCAGAGGAATACCGAAGAATCTGGTCGGTCTGACATCATGGCTCGAAGGAAGATTATGTGTCAGAATTAACTGAAAGTACTGGAGGCAGAAGGTTGTGGAGAGATGACTATTAATGCCACATTACCATTCCCTAGTTGGTTCCTTAGTAAAAATGCAATAACCTGTTTTCTCCACTGAGCAGTTAAGGACATTTAAATCAACACCACATCCGCCTTTGCTAAACATTAAAATTCAGAGGATTGACTTCATTGCACCGGGTTTTACTTATTTGACTCGGTCTCTCTCCGCAGAACTGCTAGCTCACTGACGAGAGCATTGCACAAAGCACGAACACCATGGCTATGATGACGAACTCATAAAATTGCATGCGCAAACTGAGTGATACAGTTGTGAAATAAACCCACCACCTTCAGAGCACAGTTTAAACAGCTTGACTATTTCACTATGAAAACTACGGCGAAACCCCAATCTCTTTAACCATGGGATCTTTGTCTTTAAAAAAAACAGCATAAGAACGGTTTAAAAATCAAAAACAAAAGTCCCTGCTGCAGCAGTCATTCCTAGTACTCAAGGATTGTGAAACTGTTAAACATATTCATCCAACCTCCAAACCATACTCCCG